TGTGCAGAGATGACTATGCCATGTATTCTTGTGTGCTGAGACTGCAGGGGAAGGGCCTGGCTTTATGCATACCTCACCACATTTTCCTAGGAAAACACTGGAATTTCCTTTCTCACTTTCAGGTTAGACTGTAGGATTATGGAAAAAATATTATCTGCTTAAATCTTCTTAGTGTAAGAAAGGCCTAGCGTGATGGTTTCTAATTCATAGTTACCTTGACAGTGATAAAATATACAAAGGTCCATTTTCATAGGAATGTGTACAGTCAGCAAAAGCAAGCTGATAACTGTGCAGACACCAGGGATTCCACTGTGGGAGCTCTGGAAGGGAGCTTGTTTTAATGAGGGAAGACAGGCAGTGCAGAATCAGAGGTGTGCTGCAGAGGGCTGTGGAGGGAGGCAAGGACACTGCTTTGGATAGCATGAGCAAACGTTGCTCTGAGGAAGTAATGTCTGAATGTCAAGGAGGGGCCGCCATTTTGAGGTGTTTGGGGAGAGCATTTTAAGAGAAGGGATAGGTGATTTAAGGGCCCAAAGCAGGAATAAGTTTGCTATGTTACCAGGAAGAGAAAAAGTCCAGTGTGACAAGTGCAGTGGATAAAGGAGAGATTCATGTAGGACCTGGATGGGGACTGAGTGAAGAGGGATCTTTAGAGTGTACGGTAGGATAAAATCCAAAGCACAGGTGGCATCTGTGGGATGGCTTGCTCCCTGATCTGGAGTGGTAGAACTGGGCGACACAATCATGGGTCTAGTCCTGGAGAAGCAGAGACCCAGAAGGGTGGTTCTTCTCCAGTCAACAACTGGCCCTGTTATTAGTGAGCCCCAGAGAAATACGCTGGAGCTCAGGATACACAGTTGGCTAGCCATCCACGGCAAGGTAGCCCAGAACACTGTTCACGGGCATACCTGTTTGTGCTCTCCCTGAGTTGTTTCGGCTTAGCATCTGTGCTTTATGTTGTACGCCTCTGTGTGGCATTGAGATGGGGGGCGGGGGTGGGAGGTAAGGAGCTATAGGGTAAGATTTGGACAGAAAAAAAGTACAGCTGAAGAATGATGTCCTCATAAGCAGGTGTGTACTCATACTTTGTATGGACACAGATGAGGGACGGGAGGTGTGTAGTCTGCTGCATTGATATAGTACCACAGACCACGTGGCTTAAGCCATAGACATTTTTTTTCCCGTAGTTTTGAAGGCCAGAGGTCCAGGAGAAAGTGAGGTAGATGGGTTCCTGGTGAGGAGCCAGCTTCCTGGCTTACAGACCTTCTCTCTCTATCCCAACTTGTTGAGAAAGGAAAAAAGCCTGGTGGTAACTCAGAAACAATAGCCCTGGTGTATCAGGACCCAGCTTTATCACCGTATTGAGTCTGTTCATTTGTTTTTTTCTAACAGTCACATTTGGGTTTAGGGCTTCAATTTAGAAAATTCAGTCCACAATAGTAAGCCATGTTGATTAGATGATACGTCCAGATTCTGTAGTGGCACATTATTAAAGGCAGCTGCTGCATCAGAGAGAGCGGTACTTTGGGATCAGCTCCCATTGCTCTGGAGTGAGGCAGAGCACTTGATGTGTTAGTGATCTGTTGGGGCGTGTGGGCTCAGTGTGCACGTGCAAAGGCTTTGGAGTAGCTTGCGGTGAACTGCATTCCATATATATTGTGCTGCTCTCGGTTTAATTTTGTCATCGTTGGTCCCCTTTCATCACTTGGAGGCTGTTGTGAAATCTGGTCTTTGGGGTTCTTATCTTGGCCATATAGCTCCTTTTCTTTGAAATCCTTAAGAGAGAATGTTATTCGTGCTTCTAAGCCATGCTCTGCACAAGAAGGCAGGAGGGCCACTGAGGGTCAGATCAGAAAGATGACTTGAAGTTTGTCATAAGCTTTATTATTCAGGAGGGAATCACATTGCCAGAAGTGTGTTTATACCTGCTTCCATGGATTCTTATGGTTGGTTGAGTATTTGTCTCTAGAGGTCTTAGCTCGTGCCCCTGTTCCCTCAGGAGCCTGTGGAGCCTCCTCTCTGTGTGATGTCACACATAGAAACAAAGTACCTTTCTCAGAACTGTGATTCCCAAAAGTGCTTTTGTCAGCTGCAGAGATGGTGAATTATTTTTTTTCCATTTTTCAATGAAAATGTAGTAAGAATATTCTTTTTGGAAATGATAGAGTTTAAATATATCCAAGGACAAATAAGATTGTGACTTAAATTGGGACGTCTCTAAGTTTACCTTTTTCTTCCCATTAGGATTCACTACAACATTTTCTACTGCCTCTATCTTCAGGAGAACTCCTGTACTCAGGCCACCAAAGTCAAAGAGGAGCCATCTGTCTGGCCAGGGTATGTATGTGTTACATATGTGGGTATGGGCTTGGCCGTCCATTCTTTTTTTTTTCTTTTCAAGATTTATTTTTATTTTATGTGCATGAGTATTTTGCCTGCATGTATTTAAGTGCACGGTGTGTGTGCAGTGTCCACAAAGGCCAGATGAAGGCATCAGATCCCCTAGAACTGGAGTTATGGATGGTTGTTAGATGACATGTGTGTGCTGGACCAAACTTGGGTCCTCTGCAAGATCATCTGGTACTCTTAACCGCTGAGTCACCTCTCCAGCCCACTTCCCTTTTATTTTGAGACAGAGTCTCAATATACAGCCCAGATTGGCCACAAACTTAAGAGTTTACACCCTCCTGCCATCCTCCTGTGTGTTGGGCTGGTAAGCAGGAGCCACTGGTTCACCTTTCTCCCTTGTCTATTTTCAACGTGTAAACATGGAAGATATTTTGCTTTGGCCACTTTATTGAGGCATAATTTGAATTATGTAAATTTCATCTATTTTGGAGCTTAGAATTAGTAGAATTACTCAGTTGTACAGAAGCATCTTAATCTAGTTTTAGAGCATTTTAACCCCTAAGGGGAGGCATGTTTTATGTCTAGTTTTGTGCATCTAGTTTGCCCATCTAGTGTTTGGACAGTCCATCCCCTGGGCTTTTTTATTCCTTTCTCTTCTTCTAATTTTTCCTTTGTAATGACTGTAGTAAGAAAACATCCATCCAGCTCACACATGAACAACAGCTGATTCTCAACCATAAGATGGAGCCTCTCCAGGTGGTAAAAATTATGGCGTTTGCAGGTAAGGGCTCTCTTGTCAGGTTGTTGGGGGAGCACCTGTTGGGTCCTGGAGTCGCTCACTCGGTTCCTGATGTGGTAGCTTTCCTTCTGCTTGTTCTCACTGTGTCCCCTTCCACAGCACTTTGTCCTTGGTCTTTTTTTGTGTGTGTGTCTTTTTGAGACAGGGTCTCCCTATAGCCATAGCTAACCTGCAACTCACTCTGTCGATCAGGCTTGTCTTGATCTCACAGAGATCCATCTGCCTCTGCCTCCCCAGTGCTAGAATTAAAGGCGTCTGCTACCATGCCCTACGTTGACCTTGATCTTTTTTTGAATTACTCAGCCTCTAAAGTAGTCAGTCAGTAGGAATGTGCTTTCTCCTAGTAGCTACACTGGATTCCTATTTGTACAGCTAGTTCATAGGCATTATTTTCTGGGGGCTGTCAGTGAGTGGGTGAGTCCCTCATTTACCATTGACTGCTCAGTCATTAGTTTCTTCTGGAGAGGCAAGGTCATATTAATCTGCTTACACGGGTCGGTAGCGTCCTAGTTTTGTAGGGTGGTGTCTTGAGGGGCCTCCCTCTGGTTCAGCCTACTTGCTAAATACATTGTCACGTGCGCCTTGCTTGATCTGCTCTCCCTGTAGTCCTCTGAAATGCTTGGACAGCCTTTCTGAATCTTTGCTCATGCTGTTTTCTCTGTCTGCAATTCCTTCCTTAAATACTCTGCCAGCTGCATCCATCAGATACCTGCAGTATGCCTACCATTGTCCTAGTCCCAGTGGCCTTCTATGGGGTTGGATGCCCTTATTTTAAGAATAGAGCCTAGACAGGCTTGCTTTAGGCTAAATAAGCAATAAGTGGCAGAGCCAGAACTAGAGCTGGTCATGCTCTCTTCCCTTCTCTTCTTTTTTGCCCTCCCGCCCCGCCCCGCCCCGCCATGCTGACTCTCTCTTATCCTTTCCCTTTCTTCCTGATGACAACTTCTTTAGTCATTGATTCCTAGGTATTTGACAGCTGATCTCTTAATGAAACTAATCGTCTGCTGATTAATTGGTACCTGATTATCACACAGTAAAAAGAGCTGTACTCGTGTCCTTAAATATGTCTTGTTGTTTCATTAGACTCTTTGATGAAGATTTGGGAAAGAGGCACTGTTTTCTTACTTTACAGATGAGATTCTTGTTTCTAGTTCTTACTCTTGTTTCCCCCCAGTGCTGTGTTGTCTTTGTACTCTGGTTTTGTTGTCTGCTTCACCCCGTGTTGGTGCTTTATTCCAACTAGATTGTAATATGTATATATATTTTAGTTATTTATTTAATAACCACATGATTAGAAGAAGCATTTCCTTACAGCTTTAACATACTCAGTAACACACTCCAGGGCAAGGATACATCTCTTTCAAAAGTGGCTGTAAATTTTTAGATTCATAGTTGAATTAATACAGTTATACAATATTGAACTCAGTATAAATCCTATAAGACATAAAATT